AATAGGACGTATATTATCTAAATTGCAATTTCAAGCTTTGGGTTTTGGGATTGGTACACATAAGCTAAATTTCATTATGTAGGTATCTGTGAATTAACAAAACAGGCATAGATAATAATGTATAGAAATTTATTTATTTTTTGGCCTAGTTTTTTCAGCATTGCATTAGGTATTTGAGAAGGGCCAGGAGCTTTATAATCAGGCAGATGTTTAAGAATGGACAACCATTCATCATATGTAGGGATGTCTATGATTTCTTTATAAAAATTGTCACTAATAGTATTAATAGGTTCATAGTAGCGTTGCCATTCATTCCAATTTGGATTAAGATTATGTGAGTGTTGGTCTGTGACACTTCTATTTGTAGAGCTGGCAATGGTTTGGAAATGTGTTGCTGTATAAGCTTTGATATCATCGGGAACAAGTGCAAGATATTGTGATGGCGTATCTGCATTGACTATAACTTTATCCAGAATAATAGCTTTCCTATTTCTTTCAAGACAAGAATCAATCATTTTAGTGGGAAAGTCTTTAAAGTTTTCATTCCTTTGTTTGATAAATTCAAGAATTCTTTCATTGTTTTCAGTATGGAAAACAATACATTATTTAGCTTGCATGGGTTTAATGATATCTGTTTTTAGTTCGTGTAAGTAATTCAATGAGCGATTACTTGAAAAATGATTGTTAATCGAAGATGAAAAAATGAAATTAGAGAAAGCTAGTATTAATAAAGTTTTGTGTTCGTCGAGTGTGATTGGAAAAGGGGAGGTTGGAAGATATAGTTGGAGAAGGGTTTTTTTTAATTTGTAGTAGATTTTGTATAGCTTATTAATTTGTTTGTGAATAGAAGAGTTCGAACATGTGAATAAAGAATTATGACGAGAAGTAGTCATTTGTTTAGGTAAATACTTTTTTGCAGATGTTAAGACAGTATTAGTAAAGAAATTCCAGGCAGCATTAAGGGTGTTCTAAGAGGTACAAAGATCCTGTATTGTATAGTTTTTAAAAGTTGGGTCAGTCTTAAGGATAAGATCCATTTTATCTGCAAAAAGATCCCACTGGAGAAGAGTGGTCTTATTAAAAAGGAAATTTTTCTTTGTAACTTTGTATTGTTTGGAGTAAGCATTTGATGACTGATTAAAAAAATTATTTTTGTAAAGTGAGATTAGAAAAGGAAAATGATTAGTTGAGTATAAAAAGGAGGAATCATTAAGTATATCAAAGGAAACAAGATCATGTGCCAATGATGATGAGACAAATATATAATCAATATGCGAAGAATAAGAGGTAGAAGTTGATTTGAAGGTGGGAGGATAGGAAGGATTAAAAGGAGCAATGGTGTAAAGGAATCCAAGATTAATTATATTATGTAAGAAGCTTTGTAATGTTCATTTGCATTTTGATTTATAGGTCCTTGAAATATTGATGTTGTAATCATCCATGAGAATAACATGAAAATTGTTTCTTCGACTTTGAACTAAAAGATCCATTAATTTGGTTTGAATTTAAATTCTCTGTTGGAAAGATTTTTTGTCGTGAAAACTGGTGGGAAGGTAGATTTGAAAAATGCGTAGTTTAAATTTGTTTTTAAATTGAAAGTCTAAATATAGTATTCAGTCGAAGAAAGAGCCTTGATTAAATAGATGTGAACATAAACTATTTCTAACAATTAAACCTACTCCTTGACAATTCTGGAAACAGTTGGAACTATGAAAAAAAAATTTATAATGCTTATTGTGAAAATTTTGATTAAGATTTCTAGCTTGAAGGTAGGTAAGGTGAGTTTTGCTTAAACCAAGAATATCTAAATTAAAATTGGTAAAAAATTATTCTATTTGTTGGAGACGATTTGAGGAGACACAGCTTCTTACATTATGGGTTGCGATTGAAAGTAAGTTAGGATTGTTAATATATGATAATAAATTTGCGTTAGTATTATTATTATTATTCAAAGGAATTGTTGGAGACGTTCCATTATTATTGGTGAGATGGGGTCGTGATATCATTTGGAAGTAATAAATGATTGAATCATAGGACCGATAGTGTTGATCAAATTTCTCATTTCTGTTTTGATATTATTAACTGAGGTTTTAACTAAATTAATTCGTTGAAGATTATCATTGGTTGAAATTTTTGGATTATTTTGTTCGTTGTCGTTGAAAATTGATTGGGTGTTATTGATAGGTGGGTAATATCTTCAGACATTAAAAATTCATCATGCGATGGAAAAACATATTTGGGGTCAGTAGCATAATTTACATTGTATTCAATATTGTGCATTATTTCAAGACGATTTAAACGAAAATCAATGTCCTCTTCATTTTGTTGGGTTTCAAGCAACTCATTTTTGATAGACACGATTTCATCACTAATTATAAGTAGTTTGTTGTCGATATTATCAAGTCTTTTCTGAACTAATTTTAACATATCGACAAGATTTAGGTTGGCAGGTGATGGCTGATTGTTTTTTTGATTAGAATAATTATTTTTAAGTGCATCAGCATAGGAAGTATTATTATTGGATCTATTAGAGTTGTTATTTCTTGGTGGGCAATATAGTTCAGATTTAAAGTGATCATATAGTGGTCTGTAAGAATTTGCTGTTTTACAATTGTTACAATCTTTGAATTCATGGCCGGGTGTACCACAGCTTTAACAATGTTTGGTAGCAGGTTTCATCCAATAAAGAGTCTTTCCTTTAAATTTTTGTGATTGTGCATCCACAGTATCAAGGTCATCAAGGATAGCGAAATTAATAAAAGCATAAGGTCTTAATCGATATTGTTGATCACGTGAAATAAAACATGATTTGGCATTGATTAGTCTACAATATATAATAAATCTTTTGGTATTATTAAATAAATGCTATATCACTTAAATATTATCTTTAATATACCTTCACTTTGGCGATTTTTTGCTATATGAATGCTTAGATTATGATTATTTTAGCTATTTTCTTCTTTTTTCTGACAGAAATAACCTGCCCTATGAAAAAGCATTGTTTGAAAAATATATTAAATTTATCTAATATTCATACAATTTGGGATTATTTTATTCAATAAATGGGATGAGACCTTTACAATAGAAACTGCCAGAAAATCAAAATGAGTTAATGCTAAATTTAAATATATTTTAGCCTGAAAATCATATTTGTCATATAAAAGTAAAATTGATTTTTCCCGGAAGTTTCCCCCCTTTCTATTGCAAAGGCCTGAAATGTCCGAACTTTTATAATTTAAATTTAAGTATCTATATATCATTTAAAAATTATTTAAAAATATTACAAAAAAAATCATGAATAAAAAAACACACTATAAACAACCAATTTCATATATAAAAAAATTCAACTTTCTATACATTCCTTATCAATAATATGTTTTATGTCTTAATTTCATAAAGCTTATCTATCAATCGATAAATTTTGTAGCATCATCACCTACGAAAAATGTCATACCAAATATATTCCAATTAACTATTTTATATTTGCCAACTTTCTATTCTGATCCATAAGAAAATTATTAACTTGATCATAAAATTTTTTTTTTAATAAATCATCTTGGAGGGTTCAAAGCTCTGGAAAATCTTCTAGAAAATTGGCATCCAAAATATCATTAAAAGGTGTGAATTTGTCTTATAGTTTGATGCTGCAGCATTTAGCTTAACCTTGGCTTTAACAAGAAGCGTTCAATGGTAACCCCAGTGCTTACAATGTTGCAACGTTTAGAATATGCCTTAAAGTCTATGAATAAGTCTATGAATATTTCTCAGTTTTTTTTAATGAAAATCCTGTAACGTATCAGATGCAATAAAGGTCAACGGCCGGTTTGTCGCATTCTCAAGTACCAAACAAGGATTAGCGTATGGGTTGATTTTATAATCAGGGCAAAACCAGACTTATACTGCTTCCGTATGACTGGTTATAAACATAAGAAAGAATCTTCTTGAGATCAAAAGAAACTGCAAGAAAATTGGCCAACCAGGCATTCAAACAGTCTCAAAGAAAAATGGACTATTATTAAGAGGAATATCAGCTGAGGAATTAGGAGAATTTATGATAGAGGAATCTTCAAACATTTTTTCGGAATATTGAATTGGGTTAATAATGAAGTAGTGATGCAAACTCGATAAATTTTCATTAAATTTTTTAAGTTCAAAAACATTGATTTTCACGGGCAAATAATATTTATTCAAAAATTTACCGCTTATTTTGTATCAAATAATGAATGAAATAAAGCAAAAACAAAATAAAACAAAAATACAAAATATATTTGAGTGTAATAAGTGTAATGATCGTTGTAATATTGTATATTGTGAGAAAAAAATCTTTTAGAATATCTACGTATTCGTCATCGAATTTAATTAGAGTTCAGATAATTAGAATGCAATAGAAGGGCGGCCGTTCTCAATAAATAAATACTTTGGAGAGGAAAATCTCAATAAATTGGGAATGTAATTAATTTAACATGGATATGTTAAAGTAATTTTTTTATGATAATGATAAATTGAAAGCCGAATCATTTTCATTGATCGGATGCTAAAGTGTATGCATTTGTAATATATTAAGGAAATAAAAATCTTTTTATTATGATAGAATATTTTATATACCAATTTTTTTTATTTAAATAAAATATCAATGTTTAAGAAGTTCAACAAACATCGTTTTTTATTAATTCAAGATTACAAATATTAGCCGGGTATAGATTAATCTATAACCGTTTCTCCTAGACATTGCGTAGAGGTGCAAGCCTTATTCAGGTTAAAAATAAATTTTTTTTTTGATAAACACGTCAATCAATGACCAGATCATCATATAATCCAATCAAAAAAATCATTACCACAGGCAACTTGACATGAAGAAGCCCTTTAGATCCCCAAAAATAACTTGTGTTAATGATCACCAATATTAAAGAGAAAAATCAAAAACTAGTTATTTAAAACTACAGACAATATAATATGCAAGCCTTGATGTTAATGATTATCAGTATAAAATACCGAGAAATCTAAAGCAGTGCAGGCAAGATAAAATGAAGCCCTTTAATCCCATATAACTCAGTATAATGACCTCTAAAGCTAACTTCAAAGACCACTGGTCCATCATTACCCACTTTGACAATTTCTTCACAGGAAAATAAAGCTGGATAGACTAGAAACTGCGTATTATAAAGCCACAAGCAAAACACCCGATAACTCGGTATAATGACCTTCAAGGATAACCTGGTTGAACTTCAAAGACCACCTATCTATCATTACCCGCTTTAACGATTTCTTTACAGGAAAAAAAAGCTGGATAGACTGGAAACCGGTTATTATAAAAAACTCAATAACTCGGTATATTGACCTTCAACGTTATACTGGTTAAACTTCAAAGACCACTGGTCCATCATTACCCGCTTTGACAATTTCTTCACAGGAAAATAAAGCTAGATAGACTAGAAACTGGTTATTATAGCCGTAGGCAAAACGCCCAAAAACTCAATATAATGACCTTCAAGGATAAACTGGTTAAACTTCAAAGATCACTGGTCTATCATTACCCGCTTTGACAAATTCTTCACAGGAAAATAAAGCTGGATAGACTGGTAACTGAGTTATTTGGCTATAGGCAAAACTCCTTAACTCCTTTTTCTTTGGTGATAAACAGTCGTCGTCAGTCATTTTATATTGTGTATTAAAAAACAAAATGTAAGTTATAATATAAGTCTTTTACTTAAAAATTAAAAAAAATAATATAATAGAATACCTTCGGTGTCGAAGCTTCCAGTCCAAGAAGTAAATTTTTTGATTTCATGCAAAATGGGGGTTTTTAAAGTTGGCTATTATGCAGATCACATGATACTTTTCCTGATTCGACCCACACATTCTGATCAATTGACAATTCGAGACATTTATCACCTGTTCTTTGCCTTATTACTGTAGAAATAATATATATATTCAATTTTTTTCGACGCCAATTTAATAACAATTAAATGCATATATTCTGGAAGGGGAAAATGGATATCGTGATTACATAAAAAGGAGATTTAAGTAAAACACTATTTATTTTGCTAGTTCATTCTAATTTAGTTCCATTAATTACAAAAAATGCTGATGCTGATTGGCTTATATCAAAAATGTTCGTTGAACAACAAAACTTATGTAACCCAATTTGTGTTTATACATTTCACATTTCGGGTCGTCTATCATGCCACACTTTAAATCCTTTTGAAAAAGTTCTGAAAAAAATTTCCTTTAATTGATACAATCTTCTTTTGCATTCAGAATATGAGCCCATTAAATTATGTGTTAAATTCGAGCCCAATCCTTATTTTTACGTATCCATTTTGATCAAATCAAATGTCTATCTGAAGTTAATAAATGTACAAATTTCATTCCTTAATCTCATTCCTGCTATATTTCTGTTGTAGAGAAATGATCTTAACTTCGGAAACATAGGCCATTGAAACTCTTCTTCATAATACTGATTTGTGTATACCAAATGTTCTTTATATTCTTTATGAGGTAAAGATTTGTTTATGAATTTCTTTATAAAAATGCAAATTATTAAACAATTCCAATAAATATACCGTTGTTTGTTAAATTTTGTATGGTTGCGTTATTCGCTTAGTGACATCACGCGCGACTATGATCGGCAATCCTAGATCTACTATGGGGATCGGTTCATCGGCTCTCATTAGTAAAATATGAGCTTTATTTGTCAAATTAAAAACACAGATAGAACATGTGATGAAGATCAATTAGAATTGGTTATCAAACGATGGTTGTCAGTTCCGGTTCTATTTTAAAAGTAGTTCGAATCGGTTTCAGAACCGACTCGAGTCGACTCATTTTGAGCCGATACCATCCTTAACTACAGTATAGCGAAATATAGGAAAGGTTTCCTATGACATAGAACCAGACAACTAATATGTTATTACAAATAATACTTGCACCTGGAATATAATACCAATTAATGGAACAATGGTTTGGAAATCTTTTTGTATCCGCTTTTTTTCATAATCCTTTCCACTTATTTTGTCTGTTTTACCGGGATTATCACTCCTGGATCCATACGACGTGGTAATCTTTGCAGGTTTAGATATAATCTGCGGTCGTATTTGACACCGGTGGGGTGAATATTCCTGCTTTCTGTTTTACCGAATTACTACTTACCGAATTATCCCGTCCAAATTTCCTGGATCTGCAATATATCCAGATGAGGGTTCTTGACAGACTTGGAAAATGCAACAACTAAAAATAAATCGAATATATAAATGGAGTATAAGGATTCAACATCATATTATTTCTTTGATTTCTATAGCTATGAGATTCCTCTCCAACATACTCTTTTTCTATACGAGATCTTCAAAACGATATAATTTCGAACCTTTAGCATAAATTCTAAAGATTTGCAGCTTACGCTAAGGGAAAAAATAAATCAAGACAATAATTTCGATTCACATTTCACTTCAAATATTTAAAAAATATATATTTGTAACGCACATGCGATACTGCTGAGAATTTTGAAGTAGTTTAAACCGAAATTTTTAAGATTCGTGACGTAATTTATGTGATGAAAAATTTTTAACCAAATCTTGAATTCACTGGTGACGATGATTTCTTAGCAAAAGAGCAAAAGGCAGATATACATGTATATAACAAGAGTTATATTTTTGGAGTCGGAGGGGATCAGAATGATCAGTACGTATTAATCATGCATACCGGTATGTTTTTATTTACAGAATTATTCCAATGAATTGCCAATGCTAACAATATTACTACGGATACATATTACTATCGGGATGGTATGCTAAATATGTTAAAATATCTTGTATTACATAATTCACTAAAAAAATTTCAATGAGATTTTAGGCTATTCCGTTATTTCGAAAACTTTTTACAAAATATGACATTAAAGCAGTTATTTGCGCCTGTTAAGATGATAATGTCTGTGCTTATTATACATCATAATTTTTGCTTAAAACCCTTTCTGACGTTTTCGGAATTCATAATTACTTTATTGATTCATTCTATCTCAACAAAAAATTTTTGTTTTTATTCTTCCAAAAAATAAGTAAAAATTTTTTTTTTTAAGTTATGTAATATAATTAATAATTCCCTGAGAATGTTCAAAAAAATATTCGATGTCGGCTAAATAATGCATTATAAGAATAATACTAGGTTGAAAAATGAAATGAACATACTATACATATATACTACTACATACTACTAACAAATTTTGTTTAATGAATAATCTGTCAAATTGTGTATATTCATGTTGGTTCTCGTTCATTATAAGGCCTGCTTACAAGGTAAATAAATAGTCTTGGTATTCAATAATTATCCGGTTGGCATGAAGTCTTGCGTATGCATTCTCATTAATCGATATAACAATTGAATACTTATTCATTCATACTTGTGAAAATTGATTTAAAGCAGTTTTTACTCTCTCACGAACGTCTAGATTATCATCATTCGTCATATTTTTTACTTTTTCTTCGAATCCCATTTCACGTAATTTCTGAACTCGCACTTGTGAACCTTGAAAGAGAAAAGAAAAATTTAGAATCCATATCAGATAAATATGTAACAAAATTATACTTAAAGCAATAACTACATACTGGCAGACTTATCTTCCATCCATGATAAATTTATTACAACCCACATCGCGACCACCCGTATTTCTGGATTTGTGTGACCCATGTAGCTTAATATAGATTTTAATATATTGGTTCGATTCATAATGGCTGATTTATGACGTTCATTACCCGTTGCAATATTATTAATTACATACAGTACCTACAATATTCAAATAATAATAATAATAATAATTAGCCGAATGCTATATAATCGTGAAAGATTAACGTCATTAATTACATTACCTGTTTAATAATTTCTTCATTAGTCCACCAGCACAATTTAGTTTCTATAACAGTCATTAGACTATCTTCACTCAAACCTTTAAAGACTTCTTCAATATCCTAAATAATCCAATAATCAGTTAAAATATCTGATTGAGATTAATTGTAATTGCCGTAACAAACTTACATGTTGTCTTGTGCATGCAAGATTCCTTAACAAATTTAGTGCCTGCTCTTGTATATCAATTTCTTGATCGGAAATTAAACTTGAATTATAATAAGTGAAGTTTATAGAATGAAATTTCAGTATAATATGTAAGATAATAAAAGGGTCTAATTTCACACTTACTTCTCCATGGTTTGATATGTTAAAACTTTCATAACCGCTTCCTTAATTTCTGATTCTGCCTGATATACTAAATTTTTCAGTGCCCATATCGCATTAAGTCTTAATGTATTATCCGGAGAATGTACTAACTCAACCAGCTTTTCTATTCCACCCAGCTCCATAATCATCTTTTTTTTTAATCGGGGGGAGGGGGGAATTTCATGAGTCAAATAATTAATTGGAATTGCTTCATTATAATAAGTAAAATCCATGAAATTACAAAATACTCACTCTCTTCATCGGTGAAAAATCTAATACTAAATTACAAAGTGTTGCACAAGCTGTCGTTTGCACGTCCGTTGATTCATCAGATAAAAGCTTCGTTTTGTCGAAAATTGTCAGCTGAATAATCTTTTCACGAAAATTTGTTTACAAAAAATATATCGTGAAGTCTTACTTTGAATAGAGGTGTTGCAATTCCTGCGTCTACAAGACTAGTCCGTAATATATTAATCGATCTTGACAGGCTCCGAGTGCATTGGCATGCTGCAGCACGAATTCCGTAAGAACGATGTGACATGGCAGCAACAATATGTGGGATAATCTTGGCCTCCACAACCAACTTTCGACCATCATCTGTCAATGAGCTAATAGCTGCAAGAGCCATCAAAGCATTCTATTGAAAATAGGATTGAATAAATAACTTTCACGGTATAATCTCTGTGAATGTACAAAGTAAATATCAACCAACTTCTTTTAATTTATCACCGTCACCAACGGGATCATAATATGAACTTTCTTGATCCACGACATGTGTTACGAAATCCGCCAATTTTGGGACCGCATCTGAATCACATGCGGCCTTTTGTAACTCTTCATTATCGCGAATCAAATAAGCCAAAACATGAGGTGCCTCCTCGCGAACAGGACCTTTTTCGTCGAGTAATTTCACTAATGTGGGCAATACAATTAGAGTGACATCGTCGGAATATTCACCAATAGCCTTGGCACGACTTAGGTGGGTTAGGCTAAAAAAAAAAAAAAAAAAAAAAAAATTATATAACTTCATAGCTAAAGTAACATACATATAAATATTATAGTATTATACCATTTTGCTGCTATTAATCGCATAGTTGGTGATTTATCCTGAATCAAATTTAACATGATTTTAACCGGACTATCGCTAGTATCGGCTAAAATAGTAACAAAATATGTCAATAAATAGATAAAATGAAAATAATAATTTCCTCTTTGATAATATCCTACATTTGGTCTCTACGATTGCTTTTCCAAATTCAGGATTTTCCCGACAAAGGTAAGCCAGAGCATCCAACGCAGCTTCTTGGGCTTTAGAAAATCCGCAAGTGAGTAAATTAACCAAAGCTGGAAATGCGCCAGCAGTAGCTATCTGAATTTGTTGTTCATTAGTATCACAACAACGAGCAATAATGGTGGCAGCCAATTCGGCAGTATGTATTGAAGCAATCCTTTCACGATCGGTTTTAGGATTGAGGGCATCAGGATTAAGGAGGGTAATAAGATCACGTAAGTGATAATCGACGAAAATATCATTCTTATCTGCTGTAGGACATTTATAGATGGCTTTCAATGCCCTAGCAGCAGCTTCAATTAGACGAGGATCATTTTGTAAAGAGATACATTCCAACAAAGGCTTGACTGCTTCGTGTTTAACTATTTCAGTAACATTTTCTTCGCCTCCTATTAATAAAAATCATATTTAAATATCGTTATTATTGACAACAGAAATTAGCAGAAAAATAAAAGAAATAAAATACCATATGCGAAGCTGCCCAACACGATCGCAGCTTGTATTTGAACTTGAGAGTCAACAGTGTCCTTTGATTTAAAGAATTTTACAAGCCTAGCAAGCAGAAAAAAAGTCAATCAACACAAATAAAGTAAGTACGGATTAATACAACGATTTCCAAAACAGACAGATACTTACTTTGGAATGACGTGAAGTCGAATGTATAGATCTTTCTTCGTTTTATTTCCGATGATGTGATTCTTTATAAAACGAAGAGCTTTTACACGAACAGCTGGATCGGAAGAATCTAATTCAATAACAGCTTGCTCATGTTTCAACGAATTCATAGTTCAACGGTAAAAAAGAGAATTGGATTAAATAAAAGTTCTAAAACTATCGACGCATATGAGTAATAATATAAACTAAAATGAAAGGTAATTTTGATTGGCTTAGCGAAACCTGTTGCTACAGAGAACATGTGCGCATATTGTTTAATTGATGTAGATCAAAATTCAAACAAATAAAAAAAATACTCCGGGTTTAGTTACTAAATTGATTGGCTGAAATTTGTTTCAGAAAAGAATAAGGAAACAAAGCTCCAAATCGAATCATTGTTCGAGCCATCAGTTTAGGAATTCACTAGAAAAAAACATTTGCAAAGTTGATAAGTACGAATCATATTTTCGGTGGCAATCTTTAATCAGTTAAATGAATTCAAAAAAAAAAGCACTTCAAATGTCATTTTATTTTTATTTTTATTTTATTTTTGTCAATGTTACTAATCGAATTAAGGTTGAACATAGAGAAGGAATGATTTTGAAATCCACCCACATTTATATGCAATATTTTACAAGAGTTGTTATATAATATTCATAACAACGGACTTTACTTTTTCTCGAATTCAGCTCTATCTAAACCATGAAGATATACTCTTAGAACATCATCAGCAGTAGGTTTTAATGCATGAATGTTTTCCATTGGAAGTATATGCTGTTGAGGATAATAACTAGTAATGACGTGAGCGAAACCCCAAGTTTTATACTTACCTTTACCACTAAATAATCCCCAATAAATGTTGAAAACGGCTAAAAGAACCATAAACATGGTGAATGCCGAGAAAGTAGGAAAGCAAAAGTATTCACGAGTGGTTGTCATATTGAACGAAGCGGGTTTAAAATGCACCAATCCAATTGGAAGTGTAGATAAATTTGTAGATGCATCGAGTTCAAGTTTATAATCCAAATTAAATTTCTCTGTTCCATTAAGAAAGATGTGCTTTCTCCAATAAAATGAGTAAACTCTTTCTCTCATAGCATCCATATTTATTATTCGATATGGATTTAAGATTTGAGGAGTTGTTTCTGTAGATAATACAGCGTCATTTGGTAAATCGTACGGATTCCATAACATGAAAAAAACTTTGGATGACGGTGAAGAAGAAGATACATTGCGAAACAAATATTGAATGAATAAAGGAGAATGATGAGATGACCAATCTTTTGGTTGTATTTTTTGTGAGGAGAAAAGCATTGGTTGTGTAGTTTGAAAAACATCACATTTGGTAAACCATGAATTATAAGTATCATCATTAGAAACGTTGACAGTTCTAACTAAATTTTGACAATTTGCCAAGTTTTCACCATAGGTATTACAATCGTATCTAAAATCAATATCATCGCTACATAATGAAAATGCTGGTGGAACGAGTTCTTCAACATTCTCAATTGTAATTGTAATGTGTACATGATTGGATCGAGATACATCCATTATTGTATTGATAATTAAATAGATGAACAATAATATTGAAAAAATAATTTGTAGAATTCTGCAAATTAATTTACGGAGATCCATGTTATAGAACAGACTTATGAGAAAGGTTTATGATTTATTAATAGTGGGTTATTAATGAAGTATTTACCAAGAGAAACCAGCTCTCTCTATGTTTATAAATTTAAAAAGACAATAAAAATAAAAAAAATGACCAGGAAAATTGTTTTGGGAATAATCCAAATAATCCATAAAAGCGAATTTGTTCATCTTTTATAGCAAATTAATTTCTCGTAATCGTTTTAAGAAAGATAATGGATCCTTTGTGGTTCTCATTTTTACAAATTTGCAACAAGGGAATTTATTCTCTTATCCACAATCCGATTGTTCCTTTTATGGGCATCAAATGTTAATTAAAACCCATAATTACAAAAAAAACTTTATTTGACATCATAAACAAAAAAAATAACAAAATATGATGTATCATGATATTTAAAAGTTCATGCATATTTTAATTCGATTATTCTAAAATTAACCAATTCCGGATCAATGTTTAACAGATATGATTGAAAACTCATGTGATTTCGTTTCATCATTTAAATCAGATTATGATTATGATCATAACATATTCTGACAATGAATTATTCCTCTGTTCAAGTTGCAACAGACTCGGTAGAGAACAAATACAGCGTTATTCTTCCAACCTACAATGAGCGTGGTAATTTACCAATTATTGTATGGTTATTAGCTAAAACTTTTAAAGAAAAGTATGTCTTTACTCGGTATATTAAATATAATTTTTTTGGACTTTTTCATTAAGTCATTCATTTTCTAGCGACCTTGATTGGGAGATTATCATTGTTGATGATGCCTCTCCAGATGGCACACAAGAAATTGCAAAGCAACTTATAAATGTTTATCGTCAAGACCGCATTGTGTGTATATTAATATGTTTTGTTGTTTTCATATATAATTTCCTAATTCCTTTCCAAAATTAAAAGAAATTGAAACCAAGAACCGGAAAGCTTGGTCTAGGAACTGCCTATATTCATGGACTTCAGTTCGTGACAGGTAACTTCGTTATAATAATGGACGCGGATTTTTCACATCATGTAAGTTTTCATTATTTGTGAATAAGTTAATCAATCTTACTTAATCTTTTTCTTTTATTATTATTAGCCAAAATTCATTCCAGAATTTATTAGGTATATTAAGCTTGTGATTGACTGTTTCTTTTTCCCCCTTTTTTTTTAGTAATCCTTTTCATTTCAATTCTAGATTACAGAAAAGTCGAAATTTGGATATCGTAACCGGGACGCGTTATGCGGGAAATGGTGGTGTGTATGGATGGGATCTTAAACGCAAGATTATAAGGTAAGGTGATGATATGATATTTATTTGACTTGCCAAGTACAAAGCTTTTTAAAATCCTTATTCCAATTTAATTTAAAGTCGTGGTGCCAACTTTCTTGCATCAACACTTCTCCGTCCAGGTGTATCTGATCTTACAGGAAGCTTTAGGTTTTTTTTTTTTTTTGTTCATCCTCAAGATTTATTCTTAAAGTTGGAATTTAATTCTTACTCAAGAAATAAATCATAGGTTGTACAAGAAAGAAGTTCTTCAAAAAATCATTTCTGTAGTAATCTCCAAAGGGTATGTTTTCCAAATGGAGATGATGGTCCGTGCGAGACAATTTGGGTATACTATTGGTGAAGTACCTATAACTTTTGTGGATCGTGTTTACGGAGAAAGTAAAATGGGAGCTAATGAGATTGTGCAGTATGCAAAAGGTGTCTGGCAATTGGTAAATAATTTCAAAATTATATTTATTGTTTAAAGTTAATTTCGATATATGATTATTAATTTCTTTTTTCTTTTTCTCTTAGTTTATTACTATTTAATTTTAAATAGTTTAGTTAATCTTGGAGAACTTCATTTTTGTGGATCTAGCAGTTAAATTTTGTTGTGTTTTACTTTGAGATGTTGAACTCTTATAAATACGGATCCATGGATGATTTAAAACTTGTTCCATTGAAGGACGGTTCTCAGGGTTCTTTTGTAATAACTAGATTATGTTAAAAATTATATTATATTTTTAAAAATAATGGAATAATAACAAACAAAAAAATATATATATATATTTAATCATTACCCTTGTGATTAGATCACTCGCTTCTCTTGATAAATAATCCGGGATCATTACTTCATCGAATATAATCCTATTGATTGTCGGATGGAAACCTATTGATTCAAATGGAGGAGTACCAACCAATAATTCATAACATATTATTCCAAGTGCCCACACATCCACCTTCTCGTTATAAGTCTGACGTTTAGCCATTTCAGGTGCGAGATAATCCAAAGTACCACAAATAGTTTTAAGTGGTGAACTGTATTTATGTAAGGAATGAATTATTACAAATATTGTGAAATGAGAACTTCCTTTGAAGACAATTTACCTCGTAAAATCTTGTACATAAGTAGCCCAGCCAAAATCTGCTAATTTGAGGTCTCCTTGTTTATCGATTAACAAATTTTCTGGTTTTAAATCTCGATGAACTATGTGATTTTCATGAATGTATGTTAACGCATTGGCAATCTGTGCGATATACTAAACAAATGAATAATGAATTTAAAAATAATTTCATAAACTCATATGAATATATGTACATAATAAATAATATTTTTATATAATCTATTATTATTAATTATAATATATACTCTTGACGCTTGTTTTTCAGCAAATCGCTTATGTCTTTTAAGTTGAGAGTACAAAGTTCCAAAAGGAGCCCATTCCAAAACCATAACTACTCGTTTTTCATCTTGAAAATATCCATATAATTTAATGATATTAGAATGACTAAAAATATATTTATTTATTTTAATACATTTTAATAAGTAATTATAGAAAATCGAAAGAAATGAATATCTTACTTTAGATTTCCTTGAATTTCAACTTCACGTTCTAACTGTTGTAAGAGTTTACTATGATTTAACTCTTGTTTTAACAACATCTTTAGAGCAACGATATATCCACTCGATTTGTCTGTAGCTAAATGAACGCGTCCGTATTTACCTTTTCCGATCTCATGACCAACTTTAAAATCCTTCATAGATAATTTGTGAGACTCTGGTTTTCTTGGGATAAACGTGAAAAAATAAACAAATAAACATAATTTCCAAGTTAATGATATAATTCTCGAGTTTTTATAACTTACTTAGTTAAGAGAAATGCATTGTTTTCTTTATTACCCTCACGTTCTTGAGTAGAATCCTGTATTAAATAATCGTATCAAATAATTTGATATTTATTACAAATTCGCCCTGATATAACAATTTGAAATTTTACCATATTTTCTTTTTTTTTAAGCTATCAATTGTTTTTCAAAAAAAAAAAAAGAACAAATCGGTGATAAATTATGAAAAACAAGGAAGGTTGGATATTCATTTAAGTTATGTTTCGCGTGACGTCAGTATGGGGCAGGTTACACTGCACGGTTACCCCTTGACTTACGGTACCCCTTTTTTCACCTATTAGGATCAAGGGTACAACCAGCGGGTAATTTTATCACATTTTGCAGATCATATTTTTCATTTTATCACATAATAAACATCGTAAAAATGATTTTTATTTAAGTTAATTAGCTCCGATTGGAAAATCCTACATAATAATATACATTAAAATTTTACATATAGCTAAATGTTATTACCATATATTATAATATCAAATTTTATCGATATTGAACTAATATTGGGTAACTTTTACTAGAGCAAACTGATTGCAATAACATAA